AACGAAAATGTGGAGAAACACAAAAGTACAACTGATGGGTTAATAAATGTAAATACCTAGCTATTTTGGAACGTGAAGGCACAGATATGGTTATTTGTATATTTTTTATTTTTTTCTGTAAATAAATTAATATTGTTATACCCGGAACAGGGTATATTAAGTTTTTCACGAAATTTGTAAAAGTCAGAAGGAAACGTCGAAGACCATATAGCTTATATACATATATGTATGTATAAATGTAAAGCGCGATGAGCTGAGTCGATTTAGTCATGTGCGTCTGTCTGTCTGTATATGCGCGAACTAGTCCCTCGGTTTTTGAGATATTGATCTGAAATTTTTCCTTTCTTTCCAAGTACCAAGAAACATGTCTAACAAGTTTCATAAAGATATCTCAATTTCTACTCAAGTTACTGCTTGCACAGACGGACGGACGGACCGACAGTCACCCGGATTTCACCTCGTCTTTTCATCCTGATCATTTACATGATACAAATAACCGTTAGGTGAACAAAACTATTATACTCTGTAGCAACAGGTTGAAGGAGTATAAAAATATATAAACAAATGTACATATAATCTTAACCTATTATATTTTTTAATTCAGTACAAATAATGCAGGTAGTGGCTTATTAAAATTTCTTATCAAATCACGCTCACACTGAAACCAATAAGCGGTTTCGTGAGCGAACGTCGTTATATATGTACTTATTACACATACTTGATGTTGATAATTATTTAAGGCTAATATTAAGAGAAGACACCGTTAGTATACAAAACAAACTAGTTTGCGGTTAGTAAATAATGAGTACACATACATTTTATGTAAAAAAAATTACCTTCATAAAGTTATTATAAAATAAAAAATAGTTTTTTGAACGTTTTCCACCCATAAAACCGCTAGAACAAGCCACTACTATCGATTATCTTAAGTGCTCTATGAGAAAATACTTATTTGTATGTATGCACTGAAGCACAAGTATAGGCTCAAATACTAGAAAAGGTGTAGTACCCTTGCCAACTCGAAAACCGCAAATCTACATTTACACTTTAAATTACCCAGAGTTCTAGTTCAATGCCACAGCAGCGCGTTGGCGGCTCAAGTTAAGTAATGCCAATAATGTTCCACTAAATATCACATGCATTTGGAAATATGCGTTAGTGTTGCGCATCGCAATGGCATAAAAATGCCAGACTATATTTATTATTGTTATATACTTGTATTAAGCGGTTGCGACCAAAAATTGGTTTAAATACAATATTTATTGCAAATATTAATTTTATAAGACAGTTTTCCGTTTCCCATTCGTTCAATTTGACAATTGCTCCTAATATTATATACAGATAGACGTACACCCTCTTTAGATAGCATCTATTAAATAATGACAGCAACAATATAGTGTAATTGCATAAGAATTATTCAATTGCATGGAAAGTGAATAACTACACTAATGAGTGATGAATTGAAGTACAGCAGCGTTGTAAATATCGTCATAAAAAATATGACCAACAATTTTAATTGTTTGATGCAATAAAATTTCCTAACGATCTTCGACTGCCCGAATATATAACACCTTTCACACATGCATTTTTTTAGGATAAATGGGTATAAAAGACCCTGAAGATATCTCGTAAAATTAAAAAAAAATATCTCAAAAACTAAGGGACTACCGAAAAGGATAAATCGACTCAGCTCGTTACGCTGATCATTTATATTGTATATACATTATAGGGTCTCCAACATTTCCTTCAGGGAAAAAGAAAAATAATATAGTGGGCGTTATAAATAAGAAAACCAGAAATCTTTTCAAAAATACTCGTAATATTTATGTATGTACATATGTAGGCTAAAACGGACCAATCATCAAATTTAGTTGAATCAGCGCTTATTTGTATATATACAATGTAATTCTAAACGTAATCAAAGAAAATTGAGGTTTAGCAACTGACTACCTACCGCAGCGATTGGCCGCAGAACACAAAGTCTCATAGAGCAATGCAATAGTAATTTAATACACATGTAAGGTATGTATGTGATGATGGGCATATTTCTAACAGCCGGGTGGGATATACTTAGTTATGTACATCGCAACACTGCGGATGAAAGGGGATGTTTTTTGATCTCATAGAACTGAGCTGAGAATATTCGAAAGTCGTCGTACAATAATTGCCGGGTATTTACATTTTAAAACTAGATACATACATACATATAGATGTATTAGGTTGTTGGCACTGATTAGTACCAAAAACTATAGGTACATACATACATGTATAGATATTTAAGCTTGTAATATGCAAAGTTTATATGACACATACATACATATATAACCAGTACGCAAAAATATGAAAATTCAATAAAAAAAATAAATTTTAAATATAAAAAAATAAATAAAGTAAAAATATATATTAAAAAAATATTAAATTAAATAATTAAAAAAAAAAGAAATAAATAAATATATTTGTAAAATATTTTTTTCTAAATAAAATCAAAAAATTCTAGTTATACTTTTTTCGGTCCATGGGTTTTGGATAACCTGTATACCCTCCGTGGTTTTTCATTAGTTTTCCAATTCTATTCGGCATGGATTGAATTAATTTTTGGCAGGTTCCTAATGGGGTAGCATCCCAGTGTTCCTTTGCTTTTTGCCACAATTGCTCCTTACTTCGAAAAGAAAAGGCTATTAAACTCTCAAGTTCTCAATCGGGTTTAGATGAGGGGATTAGCTAGGCCATTTCATACAAGGCACATCTGCATGCCTGAACCACTCAGATACAAATCTCGATGTATGTTTCGGGTAGTTATCTTGTTGATAACTCCATCTCAGCGGCCTGTTTGCTTTAGCATATGGTAGCAACACGTTTTGCAAAATGTCTCTGTTCTCAATGGCGGTCATTGTGTCCTTTATCCAAAATAACGGACCAACACTTTGCCAGGATAAACATCCCCACACCATTATGTTTCCGCCCCCATGCTTAATTGTCTTTTTGGTGTATCTACAATCAAACTCTTTGCCTTTAGGGCGACGGACAGTTCTTTTATAATCATTTCAATAAAAATTAATCTTAACTTCGTCACTGAATAAAATATTTCGCCACTTTTTTCACCAGTGGGACCGCACCAATTTTTATGTTCAGCGGCAAAAGCTTTTCTCTTCTGTATGTGGACCTTTCTTAGAAGAGGAACTTTTCTGACTTTACGCCCCGGTAGATTACCGTTCCCTAATCGACGTCGAATTGTCCGTGAGCTAACATTTAAGGCAACTTCCGCTGTAATTCGCCGTAAAGTCACTTTTCGTTTCTTTTCATTTTTTTGCTTTAGAGCATTAGGTACAAAGTTTTTCGACCCCCTAACGTATTTGATACCCTACATCGGTACAGGCTTTTACGACCCATTCTAAATAATTTCTTGTTTTTAGTTTATGGTGTTCAAAGGAATATAAAATTACAAATACTCCAATGCCTACATTAATATCCTTCATCGTAAAAATGTAACGGTATCAAAAAAAGGAACAGTTACACTATTTGGCTAAAACAGTGCTAAACGCACACCTATTATTTTGTCCAAAAGTGTAAATTAAAATAAAAAAGATTAATAAAAAACATTAATTTCGCTTTGGTAAAAGAAAAATAATAAATTTAAACAAAAAATTAGAGGTAGCAAATTATATATGTATGTACGAGTATATATTTAAATATATTGCGCATAAATATACATATGCATGTATATATGTATGTATATGTTATAGTATATGTACTTAACACAATATTGTTTTCAACTAACGCAATAACAGAACGGCAAGTTTATTCTACACAGGCAAAAGCACATACTTATATATTTGTATGCTTATAGACTTCTTCCCAATTATATATGTATATATTCACATATATTGTCATTTATTTACTATTTAGAACTGTGATAAAAACGTGAACAGTGAATAACTAAAAATGCTTTGTTTCTCTGTCAAAACAAAATTGGTAAAAATAGAAGTAGGCAACAAATAGACTTTAACGAATTATACTTACTTAAGTACTTATACACGAGAATACATATATACATAATATTCCTTATTATACACTTATGTATCGAATGCTTTGTTTTGTGTGGTTGCGATAACAAAACTTGATATGAGGGGTGGATAAGAAAGTATTTTATTTTAACACAATTGTAATGCGTTACTAAACGAAATTGAAGCTTTTGGTAACCAAATTTCTATTCCAATCATATTTTAAAAACTGCACACACTAATTATTCTGTCTTGAAAATAATAGCATAAAGAGAAAATACCGCCGCAAAACGCGAAAATACCTATAAAGAAAGCATAGCGTTGCTTTGTCAAATTTCGGCGATATATAGTTTTAAAGTTTTTCGTACAAGAACCTAATTTGAAGAGATTTGAAGTTTGTATTTTAGATATGTGCTATATTGATCCAATATCGGCGGTTCCGTCAAATTAGTAGGTTCTTAGAGAAAAAAGAAGCTTATCATTTAATTGTGCATACACTTTACATTAATAATATTTCACAATAAATTAAAATGCAAAGAACCTTAAACAGATAACAGCAGCAACGCCTCATGCAAAGTGAAAACGGCGTAATTCGTCGACATTCCCGCTATCGCTACTTGCAGCTGGTCAAAGCAAACCCTTTAGCATTTTCCTATATATGACTAATTAAAAACATGCGAAGAAGGCACGTCGCAAAATTTCGCATGAAAATATAAATGAAATAAGGAAAAAAGCAAAAATATGATTGTTGACTAAAAAACATGAAAACCTGTGCACAGCCTAAAACGGATTGCGCTAATGGACTGAGATGTCCGACCACTACATTACCTCTATGCTAGGCAGTAATCAAATTAAAGTTTTTTTTTTCATATAGACTATTATTCAAAGCTTACGTTAATAATCTGCCAACTGAAGAATATATAATCAAATTACATTAAATTAATGCAGTAATTGACAATTAAATACATATATACATTGTTATTAATATATATTACTCACCACAAACCAGAGCGCTGCAAATACTCAGCACCAAAGTCAAAGTCAAATATTTATTATGAAACATTTTGATAGCACTCGCCAACACACAAATATTATAAATTTTTCGACTTTCCAAATGGTGCAAATGTCAGTGTTTATGAAAACTTTAACTGCGCTGCAATGATTTTTCTAATTATTCCTTTTCGTACTTCTTCGTTTCCAAAATTTATAGCATTTAAAGTAGACAAAATATTAAAAATAGTATTCGCTTGCCTAAAAAATAAACCCACTTTTCCTACTTTTTTAATGGCAAAATACAATATTTAGTAATTTGACTTTAAATTTTAGTAAGCTCTTTAAAATTTTCTACGTCTTTTGTTCTTGCTATTTCTTTCCGTACTTAAAAAAGCTGACCGAAACGCAACAACAAATGGCGATTAATACGAATGATTCAGCTGATTCAGCTAACTAGCGCCATCTTGCGGAAAAGCAGAAATGTCAAAAAATTCAATGAGTACCATATAACTGAACGTGCTCGGAATGAAAAAGTATACATGGTCTACCAATAGAGATGACGTGATTTTGACAGCTCGTGGCGGCCAAGTTTGTTTACTGATTAGCGTCAAATTTTGTCAGTGTGTTGAGTTAGGTTTGCCATTTCATTATGTTGCGTTTCAATTTGGTACAACGCTTGGAAATTAACCAAGTGTATTACACAAATTCACGTTCTCCGGCGGCTACTGTAACAGCTTTTCGCGCAAAATACGATCCTAATGATGCTCTCTCTGAGCGCGCTATTCAACGCATAATTGAAAAATACCGGCAAAGAGAAATATCGTGCCGTTCGGGCCAATCCGAATCAGTCGGTTCAACGTCATTCTGCACAGGAATGATGGAAGCTATTGTTGTGAGTAAAATCCTCGTGAGGTGCAGGAAACACAATTGCATCATAGGGCCTTATTTCTTTCGAAATGGGGCAGGAAATGCCGTTACCATCAATAGCGAGCGTTATAACTCGATGTTGACCGCCTTTTTTTCTTAGAATTTGATGAAATCAACGCGGAGGATCTCTATTTCCAACAAAATAGTGCGCCGGTTCATGTTTCATGTTCAAACATGATCACATTGCTCGCAAAGTCTGGCGACTCGTTAATTTCGAGAAATGGTCCAATCAAATGGCCGCCAAAATCATGCGATTTAACGCCTATAGATTATATTCTCTAGGGGTATGTCAAATCAAATGTTTACGCCAATCCACCAGCAACGCTCAAGGAGCTCAAAGACAAAATTCAGCACACTATAGCCGAAATGCTTCACCGAGTCATCGAAAATTGCATTGCGTAACGCAAACGGAGCCGTCGTGATCATTTGAACGACATATTGTTCTAATCACAACTGGCATAAAATTATCTGCATAACAAAAAAGTGTATTCCAAAATATGCAGTATCTGATAGTTAGGATAGTTTATCCTTAGTGCGTAAGAGCACTGTTGTTGTTGTTGTTGTAGCGGCAGAATTCTACAGAGTTGACAGTCCTTGGCCGGAATAAATCCCGGTCCGTTCCGGTTACGTAGACCCGATTGTCGTGGAAACGGTGCGTAAGAGCACTCTTTGTGGTTGGGCTATTGGCGCATAATGCAAAGTGCCAGTTTCCCGAAGAGCCATTGACAAAAGGTTGTGGAAAGGTATTTATCCTTAAATAATTATTTTTCTTGTAATTCTATATTATACAATTACTTCCATTGCATCGTTTGTATAAACATGTGCTTTCATGTTTCAAAATATATTCCGAAAATGAAAGAAAAAGCGTAAACTTCGTTTGCACCGAAGCTATGATATCCTTCACCCATAAAAAAGTTCCCTACAAAAACTATATTTTAATGGCAGCTATATGCTGCAGTTGTCCGGTCTTAACAATTTATTCGAAGATTGTGCCGTTGCCTTGTCGAAAACCCATGCCAAATTTCATGGAAATATCTCGTCAATTTAAACAGTTTTCTATACAAGAACTTAATTTTGATCGATCAGTTTGTATGGCAGATATAAGCTAAAGTGGTAAAGCGTTTTCGACAAATGAGCAAATTCTTGATGACAAAAGGACATGTCTAAAATTTCAGATAATTATCTCAACAACAGATCTCGTTACGCTGATATATTATTTTATAGGGTGACGTTTCCTTCTTGGTATTACGAAATTCGTGGCAAACTTAATATACCCCGTTCCAGGTATAATAATACTATCTACAAAGTGCTTTCTTTATAACATAAATACCTCTCATCTCCTCCACATTTCCGTTCTGTTAAAAACAACTATATATATATTACAGCTAAATATTTATGTATTTATGCAAATCTCTTCACCATTTCTATTAATAGAATCGCATTACAAATAGCTAGGGTTGCGATCCATCATTTTTTCGACGGTAGCATGTGGTTGGTTCTGGAACTCAAAGTGATCGGGATGACCGAGTATGTCGGAGAAGTCAATCATTTCATCTCTAGCTAATATGATATCACGCATCATGTGGCTAAAAGATGTAATAGATATTAATAAAAGTAAAACAATTGAAGAACCAATCGCTGTATAGACACGAAAGGGTCAATGAAGAAGTTTAAAAAGTGGCTAAGCTCAAAATCACATATTGAAATACAATCGAACTTTTTAAATTTTTTATCACAAATGATGGAAAATAGTTTCTAAATAACAAAGTTTACTTTCATCTCATTGAGATTCGCCATATGGAAGTTCGACTGTATTGTTCAACATATGTTACTATCTAAATGAGTTTGAACAGCTTAGCTCTGGCAAGTTCTCGAGTTCGTATAAACCCTATTCGCACTCACCTCGAATTGAGAAATGGCAACCGTCCAACTTTATTAGCGGCGTATAATTCCATACCCATTTTTAGTGGCACTCCCTCTCCTTCTCTATTGCGTACAACTTGCATTACCCAGTCTTGTTCAGTATCATCAACGGGCAACTTCAATTTCGTCTGCATTAAGGCATTCTTGTGAACTGGTGTTGCCCATTCTGACGATGCGCTCAAAATTTGTTGTGTTGGTTCCTTTATAGATTAAACACGTGATAAGTCGTTTAAAAATAATTAATAAAATTTTTATGTCGATGAAATATTTACCATTATTATATTTGTTTGAATTACTTTTTGTCGAACTGAATGACAATACAAATTGTGTGGGAAATAGTAATTTCGTTACCACCTTTTTTAATTGTCAATTTAAAACTAAACTGAGTGTGATGCCAGATGAATTATAAATTTTTACTCTGTTCACACAACTCTGTTTGGTTGAATATTTTTTCTGGAAAATATATAAATACGTTATGAGGTTATACAAGGTGGCTCTCGAATCGTGCTACAAAAACAAACCGTAATGACTTTTTTTAATATACGTTACATACATTTTTTTATTGTATAACTAATTTTTTTTTATTTGACATAATTAATTATTTTAAAAAATTATAGACCGTAAATGACCTCCATGCTCAACCACGCATATGCGACACCTAATTACAAAATTATTCATTGCGACCTGAAGGGTTGAAGTCGAGATTGCCTCAATTACTAATTTAACTGCTTCAATTCAGACAGATTTCTGGGTTTTGTTTTGTATACCTCTTGCTTGACATAACACCATAAAAAAGTCTAGTGCCGTCAGGCCAGGTGACCTTGGGGGCCAGCGGAAAGTACAGTTTCTTTAAATTTTTTTTTTCAAATACTCATTGGATCTCCGCAATAACCGGTCTGGCTTTTTTTTGAATTTGCTCTGTCTTTCTGGAATCAAACGCTATTGAAAGGAATATATTTTTGGCGCAGTTCTGGGTAAAAAAACTCATTCAAGGTCTTTAAGAAACGGTGCCCATTGACAATAACTGTTACCGTTTTCTTCAAAGAATTATGGCCCGACAATACAATTTGATGAAACTGCATACCACACAGTGACTTGTTCTGGCTGAAGTTCCATCTCCTGGATTATTTCTCCATATACGTCATTTTTGCTTGTTTACATTTCAAAAAGGGCCTCATCCGACATAAACAGGCATTTTATCAAGTTATTGTCTTCTTCTTATTTAAATAATTTTTTGGTGATTGGGAATATTTAGAGGGTTTAATCGGCTTGTTAATTGAAAATTGCATTGCGAAACTCTTGGATTTGCTTGAATTAATGAACATACGGATCTCGATGGTATGGTTTTCTTGAGATACTTCCAGATTTGCCAAACATGTTTACCAACCTCATAATGGTCCATCTACTCGGGGTGTGCCGACAAAATCCCGTCTGAATTTCCTTTCGACGGAAATGACGGACTTCATGGTACCGCTGCACTATCCAAACCCTCTTTTCGGTATACCAATCATTAATTTTTAAACAATTTATATAATAACCTACCAAAAAAAATATACCTCCTAAAGCTGTTAGCCTACTGTGGGTTCCAAAACTGAGAAATCTTAATTGAAATGTATGAAAATATAGGAACACTTTTCTATTTGCAGTTTTTTTTCAATTGTCTGACGAGATTCATATATGTGGATAACTGTCAGAGTTTGATCTGTCGCGGTAAAATTATAGTAACCTTGGGAGGGAGGAAGTGACGTACAAGTGGAGGTTGTTGCTGACGGAGCTCCAGGGAGACTGGGGTTGTTGCACTGTGGTATTATTTGGCGACGATATAGGAATTTTTGGCGGGGGCAGACTCCTATAGCAAAGGGCAACGAACAACACAGTACACTCACGTTTGGTGGGCAGGAACAAGGAACATGTCAGAAAATATCACTAGTAAAAGCACGAATTGCAGTTAACCGATGTAGGGTTCCGACGTATCTATTATATTTGGTCTGACACACGGAACAGACTATGCGAGATGCCAGGAGTTACGTTATGGTTCTTGCACGAGGATTGGAGCGTACTGAAGGTTGGGGTGGGATCATGCTGCCTTTTTAAGTTCCTTCAAACTGTAGAGATGCTTTGTTGGCCACTTGACTGAAGTGGTGCCGCAATGCGCTAATCAAAAGTTAGATTTGGTCGTAGAGTTGATTTTTGAACGTAAGGTAGCGATAGATCTCACTCACATAAATTTGTTAAGGCTTTAAATATCAATCCCAACCACTTCGCCAGACTCACCGAAAGCGTGTCTTTCGAGATATTTCAATATCCGTCTGGCAAAAGCAAGGCAATAGAGGAGAAAGTTACCAGATGATTCCACTTCGCCTTCCTTCATACTGCTTTGCAAGATGCCTTCGAAAATATTTAACAGCGCCGTGTGTAAATGTATGTCCACCGCTAGAATGCAAGAGGACAACGGAGACTCGCTTCCAATCGAATGAAATTGAGGTAAGGCTGCCCTCCCTATAAAGCTGTGACCGGGCAAGAAAACAAGTATAATGCAATTTGCACAAACGTAGACTGGTGTCGCAGTTGTGCGTTACAGGATGGGGCCATAAAATTTGTAGTCCACTCCCTGTGTGGCGTTAGGTCTAAAAAGTCTTAAGATGGCTCCATCCATTGCATTTGTTACACGTAATTGTGTTAAAGTTTGGATGGAGCCTTTTGGAGCACAGAAAACCTCCTCAGAGCTCAACACCAGGAGGATATACAGGCAAAGTTGATTATGTACTTACCGATCTAAACAGGGTTGCTGGCGTATTTACACTTATACTAACCTCTATCATGCTGATGAACAGTTTTTAATCGAAACACACAATATACACCCATCCTACTCTTAAGGCCCAACTTGGTGTGATAATCTAAGAAAAGGCAATTTTGGAAATAATACAAATACCGTATCAAATGTTTTAAAAATTAAAGGGTGATTAATTTAAGGTAAGGTTAATTTAAAAAAAAATACACAGTGAAATTAAAAAAAATAAATGCTTTTCGAATTACACATTATATGACGGCGCTGTGAAACGTCTTCCACTGCTGCATTGTTTCCGGCCTTCTGCGCGGGTGAGACCAAAAAAAAAGTCTAAACTCGACTCCTTTTTGGTCTGCCAAAATCGATTTTTGAACATTAAAAATCTGATAGATCATACTTGTAGTATGAAAAACTATATACAAAACATGCAAAAAAAATTGATAGTTACCGGATCATGTGTCTTCGAGTAATCACTGCAGCAAATTCGAAAAATCCTGTTTTGATAAAAGCGCGTTTAAAGATAAACTTATAGAGCTTATTAAACTGAGCTCTTATAAGAATGTAGCCAATTCAACGACTAGAGAAATTCAGAACTAAGGGCGAAATTTACTAATGCATTGTTCTTTATCCAAATTTGATCAATCCAATATCCAATATATCCTTGCAAAATCCTCTCAACGTATCCAAAATCTTACAAGAGACAGAAGCTGACAAGCCGATATCATCTGGTACGCAGTCTCAGCACGCACCTTTGTTGTATCGGTAAGCAATATTTAGGTGTTCCCCACCTAGTGTGAAATTTTAAAAAATTGGCCTATGTTATTTTTAATGCTAAGCCTTAACGAAATGTGGAAAAAATCTATTTGTTTTAAACAATTTATACAGAATTACCAAAAATTAACGTTTTAAGAGTGCCATGTGTGGTAGTTCTGGACACTGATATGCCTATCATCGCAGGCTATAACTCTAACTATCTAAGCGATTGCTGACGCTTTCTATTACTCACTCGCCAATTGTGCCTATGTGTATGCAGAAAATACTTCGTGAAATTTTCGTTTATATTCCTCACCCGGCTATTGCACCTATATGTATGCACTAAATACTTTATGAAAATTTTGTTTCGAATTCAAGTATTTCCGTACAACACAACATACAAAGAAATGATGTTATGCGTAGGCTTGGCTTTAAGCATATGAAATATGGTAAAATTGAAAGTTTGGAATTTTCGAAACACATGTAAGAAAATACAACCTTATTTCAATTTATAAGTGTTTGCTATTATTTGGATCGAGTGGAATATTTATAAGACAGGTACAACAGTCGCTAGACTAATACATAGCGTGAAATTTAATATGTATTTAACTTACAAGAAAGGAACAAGGTATTTTTAAGGAATTTGCATTCGAATTTGTTTCTATTCCACAGCCGGCTATTGCGCCTATTTGTATGCATTAAATACTTCATGAAATTGTTTTTTTTTTTGTTTTTTTTTTCGTGTGGTACTTTATTAGCTTTTTATTCAGTAATTTTCAATTCAAAATTTGTTATACTCTAGAGAATACGCAATGTTACTAATTATGTATATGTTTTTGTTTGGTTTTGTTTTGCTTCATTTTTGTTTTTGTTTTTATTATAGGCATTCTACAACGTTCACGATCCTTCGGCTCGTTTTTGTATTATACTGGTTTTTTGTTTTTGCTTCACTGCTACTTCATTTCTGCTGCCACTGTCACATGACTTCCAAAGTGGTATGTTTGTGTGTGTCTGTGGTTACAACCGCTGCTACAGCTGAACGCTCCTGAACTTTTTAAAACTCTTTGCCGCCATTGTTTTTGCTTTATTTTTTTTTAACATTATTATATTATTGAAATGTTAAATTTATAAATTTAGTTTTTTTCTTTTTTTATATTTACTTAACCGTAAATTTTACAAGAATCTTATTTTTTTTTGGTTTTTGCTTTAACTAATTAATAATTTTTCACCTGCTCAGTTGCTACCAGCAATGCATATTTAACAACATACTCTTCATTTAATAAATTTAATTATAATTATCTTAAGAGCTAAACTGCTTAAATTAGAAGTGTATTCTCTTAATATTTCTTTGTTGTTTTTATTTATTTTGCTGCTAATTTTTTCTATGCAAATATTATTATTTTTTCACTATTTTTTTTTGTTTAAGTAACTAGTACACCGCTGTCCATTAATTTTTTTTAAATTTAAATGAGAAAAATTAGGTATTAATTCATGTTGCATGAAAAGCAATAAAATTTCAATTTACAATTATATAAATTCATAAAGCAAAAGCAAATTTTTTTGAGCATGGCAACCACCAATAATAAAAAATTACTTTTTTTTAATTTTTTTTTTTTTGTGTTTTTCTTGGGAGCATCTTTTACCGCTGAGGCCAGGTTGTTATTTGCTGTCATGACGCACAAAACTCACCTGCTGATATACGCTACCCTACACACTCTCTCTTCGCTAACTCTGTTCTCTGCGCTCTCACGCCAACAAGCCAAAATAATATAACATTTAAATGCCAAAAAACATTTCGCAAACGTTATAACAGTGTAGCGGTAAATTTGACAGCTCCAACTGTTAAACGCAACACTGCCAGCGAAACTGACAAACGCAAACTCAGCCTTCGCACTCGTTTGCACAATATCTCTTTGATGTTGTGTTGTATTGCGCGAGAATTTTCATACGTTCCAATACCCAGCTCAACAATGAAAACGCGTTAATCATACCCTATTTGATCGTCTTACGGGAGTTGTGGCGTGTTTACCATATATGTATGCAATATTTCTAGGTGATGTCATGAAGTGGTTATGTTGAGTTATGGCCGATTTTTGTGTTACATGTTGCTTAGACGTTGTGACGATCACTGACGCTCGTACTGACCGTTCTTAACGCATGCATATTTGAATTTTTTTATTATATTATAAAATTTTTTTATTATATTATAAAATTTTTTTATTTCAACAACTGAGTAGGTCAAATTTGCGAAAATGCATTAGAAATTTATAAAACTACAGACACATTTTTTGAAGCGCATATAAAGCTTGTTAAAATTGTTAATTTTTTCAAACCCATTATTGTTGTTGCCAACTACAGCGAATTGTTATCATTTTTAATCTTTTATATACTATTATTTGCATGCAATAATTAAGTGTTTTAAACATTAAAAATTTAATATGCATATAAATAAGCATACATAGTGTGTGCATGGATGGGTAGAAGGTATATGTGTACACTGTTTTTATGAATGGATGTGTGTGTGTGTGAGTAGCATTGCATACACTCAAATAATTTTTACATACATTTGTGTAAAAAATGGCAGTTTATTCTCCTCTCTCATCATTAATACGAACATTTCCAACTTTATATGTGTATGTTAACGTGGTTATCCGTACAACACAACGTGCAAAGAAATGATGTTATTCGAAGGCTTGGCATTACACATATGAAATATATACGTGCTATGAAAGTAAAATTGAATGTTTGGAACGTTTGGAATTGTCGAAACACTCATAACAAATAATGAAAAGTAAAATTAAACGTTTGGAACGTTGGAATTTTCGAACACACATATAATAGTTGTTGAAAATACAACTTTATTTCAATTTATAAGTGTTTTACGCTTATGTGGAACCAGTGAAATATTTAAACACTGGCACAACAATCGCTAGTCTAATACAAAGCGTGAAATTTAATGTCTTTGAGAAATCATTAAGGTATTTTCAATTAATTTGCATTCGAATGCGAAAAAAATTATTTATTCAAACAAATTTGTTGCGAATGCATTATTTTGCGTGTTGAATAGAAAATTTGGAATAAAAAATTATTATAAATATTTCTAATTTTCTATAAACGAAGCATGTTATCAATTGTAACTTCACATCTTTTCAAATAATGCAATTTAAAAAATACCACACCACTTTTTTTATTTCTAATTTTCTATAAACGAAGCATGTTATCAATTGTAACTTCACATCTTTTCAAATAATGCAATTTAAAAAATACCACACCACTTTATTGTGGAAACTCAAAATTTCTAAGACACCGCACACAATTTGCATGCTGCTTTAATAGCAACACACAGAAAAAATATAATTTGGGAAGAGTTTGAAAATTTCGAAATATCCCACATAATTTGAATGCTGCATTCATTTAGAACACAAAGAAAAAAAATTGATTAAGGGAACGTTTTAAAATTTTCGAAACATTTTCCACAATTTGAAAGCTGCATTTGAAACACAAAGAACAAAATTTATTATGGGAGCCTTTTGGAATTTTTGCAACATCTCACACAATTTGAAGGCTGCATTCTTTTAAAATGCAAAAAAAAAGTTGTAATATAGAAACAGTTTGGAATTTTCGAAACTCCCACATAATTTGTAGGCCACATTCAATTGGAACGCATCAAAAAAATTTAATAAATCTGATTTCAGTTGGAACACAAAAAACATAATTATAATTAGGAAACAATCTGGAATTTTCGAAACATCGCATACAATTTAAGGCTGCATTCACAAACCAAAAAATTGAATATGGTAACAATCATTAGAAAATTTCGAAACACCCCACACAATTTGTATGCCGCTTTCATTTGAAACACAAACAACCAAATTTAATAAATTTCAGCTCGCTTTGCAATTTCTAACGCACTCCTGTTCACTAGCTCGCTATTTGTTTTCAGTATTTCTTTAAGAAATTAATAGTATGTAAGTATGACTACTTAATTTTGTTGTCCTTTTATTATTATTATTATCATAATTATATTTATTTAGTTAGTAGCATACGAAAAAACATTTACTAGCAAAAGGTTAACATTGTTTTCAATTATCATCATTAGCAATTTTTTCGTTCGTTGCAATACAACACTGCTGCTCTCAACACCTGCACTCTACCAAATAATGCTTACTCAGCTTTATGATATTTTTTGAATTTGTTTACAACAAATTAAACACTCACCACATGCTACTTTTGCTGCATTATTATTTATAATGTGTACATTAATATATAGTAAGTATATATAATTTAATGCTAATTCAAATTAAATTATAAACATTAATTGTTATGTATTTTTAATACGTGTGTGTGTATTGCCATTATTCACGCTGCATGGCAGTTACGTTAACGTTACCAGACAACTCAACGCTAATGCTTACGAAAGTAACATTACTTCAGCAGCTAACGCTTACATTTGCATTGCATTGTTTTCGCTGTTGTTGTTGTCAACGATTACATGGCGTCAGTTTATCGTCACAACGTTAAATAACAATTTGTTGTTCTTTAACGTAATAAAACGTAGCGGCTTTTGCACAAAAAAGCGAAAGTGTTCAAAAATATCACACTTACACAATAAGTTAAGTGGAGTGTGTGTTACATGTGTGGAGAGCATGAGTGCGAGAGCGGTACATACATACATACGTACACTCGTATTACATATATATACATACATATACATTTATGTTTGATTAGGCAGTTTAAATTTGCAGTTAATAACGCTGCGCGGCACTTTACATCATCATTATACATGCACATACCTACAGTGTGTTACAAACGTGTCGAAAACAATCAGCACAGCACAGCGTGAAAAGCCCGTTGCATACATATACATACACATGTATAGTATAGTTACTTAATTAATTTTTTGTTTTTTTTTTTGTTCTTTCTCTCTAGCATTTTGAATTAATTAGTACTTGCTTTTGCTTACTGCTGTCATACAAATCATATACATACATATATATTTATTGTTTATATTTCTTTTTTGCTTGATTTTTTTTCTGACTATATACGAAATTACACACAGCTTACAATTGTTTATTTGTATTTACTCTTTTATATGCTATTTTATTCTCATTTAAATTTCTGATAATGCATTTTACTCATTTTCTTTTATTTATTATTAAAAATTTATTTACGCACTTTTATTTGCAATATTTTACTAAACATGATTTTCAATATTTGAGTGATTGTGTGAGTATGAGTATCGTAATTTTACGCATGAGTAAATGGGGGAGCGGCATGAGCGCAGCGGAAAGAAATTTCAATGCAAATATAAATGACTCAAATGAATGAGTGAGGTTGCTGTCAACGCTTAAGAATTGAGTAAAAATTACGGTTGTGAACTTCGCTAAAAGATGAAAGGAATTATTTGAGAGCGCGTACAGTACATCAAATTGAAGTTGTTTTTAGAGTTTTGGGTTAACTAAGCAATATGTCACTCAGCTGCTGTAACTTCCTATAACCAATGAGTATATTGTGCTTTTTATTGTATTGTGTTTTACTTCATTTTCTAGCTGGTGGGCATTTACTATTCTAATTAGGTGTATATTTTAGTTTCGAAAAATTTAATTTTAGACGCCGTAAAGCTGGTTGGTAACTCGTTCTCCTGCGTTTGGGTGGGTGGAAAATGCATAGGCGCGTTAAATAAATTATTATTAATATATTACAATTAAGTGTCCATACTTTTGTTGGCAGAAAAAGTTTAAGGAACTTTATTTTGTATATGTTAAAACAAATGGTTTTCGAATTTACGCTTTGCTAATGCAAAAGTGTTAAAATCAAAGCTATTGCTGTCTTGGCTAAAGTGAGCACGGGGATTGAAGGTGACAGTCTTGGCTAAAGCACTGAGAACAAATGTTTGAGAAATGGTTTTGGAGTTAAAATAATGAAATTAGTTAATAATTATTTAATAAATTGGAAGATTATTAAAAAATTATACAAAAAAAAATATGTTTCTGAAAAAATTAAACGAAGATTTAAAATTTTATAAAAAAACATACATTTACATTTGTTTTCATAAAAATATATTTTTATATAAACAAAAAATTTGAAATTTTATGAAAAAAATTATTTTTATGATATTATAAAACAAATGGTTTTCGAATTTACGCTTTGCTAACGTGAAAGGGTTACAAATCACAGGTGTTGAGAGAAAACATTTGATAAATGGTTTTGGAGTAAAAATAACAAAACAAAACTTAAAATTAATAGATTCGGAGATTATTAAAGAAAAATTAAAGATATAGATTAAAAAAAAAAATTATTTTAAAATAATTAAATTCAAAGAAAAAATTTTATATATAAATAATTAAAGTAAAAATAAATAATTGGTTTATTAAAAAAACTACAATTTATATACCTAAAATAACAAATAAAACATATTTTTATGTAAAAAAATATTTTTTAAATTTATGAAAAAAAATTAAATTTAAATTGGTTTTCATCATAAAAATAAAGTTTTTTATAAAATAAAACAAAATATGATATTTTTAAAAAAATTAAAATTTTAAATTTTATCAAAAAAATATTTTTATGAAAAAGATTTAAATTTTAATATTTGTAAATATATAAATTTTTTATGAAAAAAAAGTAATTTAAAATTTAATAAAAGTATACAATTTTTTATGGAATATTTGAATATACTTTTTATATTTTAATGGAAAAAATATTGTTTTTATTTTTATTTAATAAAAAATTGTATATTTATATATCAAACTTTAAAATTGAAATTTAATTTAAAATTTTTATTGAATTATAATAAATAAAGCAAAAAAAAAATGATAAAAGAGTCAGCAAAGCAAAAGTTGTTTTAAAAATACAAAAACTCTAAAATTGTAAATAAAATAACATAATTTTTTTGGGTTTTCAACATTATTATTTAGCTTCAAGAATAAATTTTCAAACAATTACACATAACTTGTATGTGTGTTTTAGAGATTCGTTGCAGTGTTGCTAAGCGTACAGTGTAAAAAGTCAGAATACTTAATTCGAACACAGTTTAAGTACAGCTTTATAAAATAGCTATCGAAAAATCATAACAAGAATATATATCTTTTTATTATAAAATTTTTAACTTTCGGGCGCATAGAAAAACTTGTACTACAACAAAAAATTTGAATATATTTTTAATTTTTTACTGCAATGTGTTCTTTCTGTGTGATTTGTTGTTGTTTGGGCTTTGTGTACTTTACGTACGCTTAATTATTTTGCTTTTTCTCTTGCTTTATTTGCTATTATTTCGTTTGAATTGTTTTATATTTTTGTTTGAAAAATTTTCTATTATAAATAATTTGCTTCATTCTTAACAGCAAACTGTCTTAAATTGAATTATAATTCATTTTTAACTATTTGCTAATATTTTCGCTTACTTAATTTCTTCTCTTTTTTTTTTGTTTGTTTTAATATCTCGCTAGTGTAATAAGTGAAGAGGATTATTACTTTGTATTTTAAGTTGTCATTTTTTAAATATTATATATTAATTTTATTTATGTTATACTTTTATTATTTATGCTTATATATTATATTTTATAATTAACTTATTTTGGTTTTATTTTTTTTTTAACGTCAATTATATTTTCACTATTTGTTTGTATTAATTTTTATTAGCTTTTTGTCTGTTGTTAGCATTGGCATTTGTGTGCTTCATTGCTAGCTGCTTTGTTTATTATTTTTATTATTATTTATTTTTAATTTGCTAAAATAATGCATTTTTTTCTCAAATTTTATTTAAAATTTTACAACTCATGTATCTTTTAGCTTATTTTTTTATAAGCTGTATATTGTTTTTTATATTTTTTTAATCTTTTTATTTAATTTAAATTTTACTAAACTTTTATGCTGCCTGCTTGCTTTATTTATTATATTTTATTAATAAATTTATTTTAATATATGTATATATATTTTTTTAAGGGGGAGGCGCTTAAATTTTAATAACAAATTTAAACAAAGTTTTCTTTGCATAACTTGCACTTTTTTTAAATACTAATAATAATTTAATTTATTCAAAGTTTAACTTTCGCTGTCTTTAAACAGCTTTTGCAGCGTACGTTCATACATATTTTTATGTGGGTGAGTGTTTGTGTTATTGGCATGATTATTTTTCCTCTTATGGTTGTGTTGGTTAGCTGTATATGCAGTTTGGGGACGTGGTTAGTTTATTTTAGCAATACATATATCCTGGTATGCCTACATAAAGATATATTATATGTTTGTTAGACTGTTAGGGCAGGTCAAAATGTGATTTTGTTTAAAAAAAAAATATAAATGTAATGAATGTCATGTGATATTTTTTGCTGCCAATCAAAATTTAAAAAAAAAAATAATTTTTTATTCTATATGCTTTCCAAAATAATACCATGCGATTTTCTTGTCATCACATTTTTTTGAAACAATAGCTGTAAAACACTAAATTAGTTTGCTTGACATTTTTTTATATTTAATTTTCCGGTCAATCAAATTTTTTAAAATAGGTGCTATTTATTTTAAATTATATGCAATAAAACTGTCAATCAAACTAATTTAAAAGAAAAAAATGTCATGTTTTTCGGACAATAAATTGTTGTAAAACATTTCTTTGCTTTTAAATTAATTTGCATGACATATTTTTGCATACTCTTCAGGCATGTTTAAATTTAGAAACACATTTTTTTTTAAACAATTGCTGCAAAATATTGCTTTGTTAATAATAATTAGTAATATTAGTTAGCTTTAAATTTAAATTTTAAATTTTATAAAATGTCATGCCACATTCTGCCAATTAAATTTTTTTAAAACAATTACTGTAAAACATTTTTGCTTGTAAATAAGTTTGCTTGATATTTTTATTGCATGAGATTTTGCTTGTAAACAAAATATGTATGTAATTTAATTTGCAATTAAAGCATTAATATTTTTTGTAATAGTTTTATTAATTAATTAATACTATTTGCACTTTGCTACTTTACTTTTGCTTCTGCTTGGCGCTTTACATACCTACAAATGTTTTTTTGTAATTGAAATATTTTTAATTTTTTTGCAAAATTGCTGTCCTGTGTAAGCATGTTGTTGATTTTTCTGTTATATATTTGTTTGTTTTTGTGGATTTTTGTATTTTTTCGCTGCGCTCGTTTTCGTTAATTACCTTTTTAATTAATTTTAATCATAATCATAATAATAATAATCTTTTTTAAACTTGCATTCACTAGTCAAAAATATCAACAAATCCTATTAAGTATTTTCAATAATTAAATTCTACTGATTTTCAAAACCTTGTTTTTGTTTTTGCTTTTAATTTACTTAAGTAAGCATAAAAGTAAAGAAATAAGTACGAAAGAAGCGTTTGTATTTATTATCAAAATTGTTAGCGCTGTTGCACGCTTTATTTAAAGCAATTATTTCTTTTAACTACATACATACATATCTTTTTGTGGTTTTGGGTACTAAATACCATAAATCGTATTTATTTCATAATTTATTGCGCAAAATAAAATTAATTACAAATAATCATATTTTTCGGTTGCTGCTGTTGCTTTTTATTATTTTTTATATTTTTGTCTTTTTTACCATTTTTTTTTTGTGTCTCCAAAAATTAATATATATACGAGTACGTATGTACATATGTATTGAATGAAGCCTTGTTACGCTTTGTCTATTAAATTAAATACTTTAATTCTTATTGTTTATGCATTTTCATTTAATTATTTGTTTTTTTTTTTTGGTTTGCTCTCGCTCTATTTAGCAGTGTTGCCGCAGTGTTTTTGTAACCTTTATTTATTTTTGTTTGTTTCAATTTGTTATGTGTACTGTGTGTTTAAATGTTTTCGTTCTCGCAAAACAAATATTTAGCAATTTTTTATTTCAAATATTTGCTTTTACTATTTTGCACACATTTTTAAGTTTTTTCTTTGTATTATAGCCTTTAATTTTGTTGTTGTTGTTGTTGTTGTTGTTGTCACTGCTCGCATATGCACTATGAAAATAGCGCTTTTAATATAATTTTATTTATATATTCTTTTTTATATTTTCGTCTTGTTGTTCATATTCTTTGGTTGTTGCTGTATTTTTCATGCATTCATCTTCAGCTTGCTCCTAGCTTGCTCTCACATTCAATCCTTCAAGCACATAGCTACATCTCACATTAGCCTTCATTATACTGACTCTCTCTTTCTCTCTCTCTCTCTATCTCCTTCTCTATTCTTCCTTTATGCTGCTTTAACCTAACCTTTGCCTGTTTTGCCCTTCCCTGCATGTTTCTTGACTTAATTTTGCTACTATTTTGTTGCTGTTTTTTTTGTTTTTTGGTTTTACTTCTGTTATTGTTTTCTTTCAATAACTGTAGTCCATTTTTATTTACTGCTGCGTTTATTATTTTCTCTGCTTAGTATTCTCTTTGTTTCTTTGTTGTTGTTGTTTATTCTTTTTGTTTTGTTTTGTGTGGTTGTTAGGGTTTTTTATTAATTTATTTTCTGTGCTTTGTTCACTTATTGGCTGCGCGCAGGCTCTTAATCAACCATCAATTCGAAGTGGACGGATCCTTTCCTTTCTTGGCGATCGTGTTTGATGTTGCTTGCCCAGGCTTTGCATTCAATGTTAATTAAAACGCCGGCTATAGAAAGAGTGAAGAGAGATAATGTATGGAATATGGTTTATAAATATCAATTAGAGAAAAAATATGTTAAATAATTCGAAAATTTAGAAACGCAGTTTGAATGTCAATTGAACCTTGTAATAACTTCATAAAATGAATATTTTCTCTATTCCACTTAGGGAATAATAAGAGTTTAATACTTATTCGTGCAGGCAAAGCCAATTTTTATATGAACGGAATTTTCTAAACAACATTTAATTTCAATTTTTATATGAGTGAAACGAACAGAATTTTCGAAACACCAATTCATTTAATTTTACATCGTTTCTGAAAGACTTACATTCTCATTCTATTTTTATATGAACGCAATGAACGGAATTTTCGAAACACCACTTCGTATTGTTTTTTTTTACAGTGAAGTATGCACGCACAAACAAAAATATCACTCATTAGATATTATTATTTTATACTCGAATTTTTTAGAATTTTTTTAACAATAAAAGTAAACGATTTTTTTTTTTTGCTTTTTTCATCATTTTTATTCAACAATATATTTCAAAATATTAAAGGAATATATTTATTAATTATGGTATCTGGGCTGATTCGTGGACCAATTCCACACATATTTGACATTATAGATTGACCAATATTTTCAGTTATGGTCCGATTTCGACAGTTTTTAGATGCGAGATGGCATACCTTAAAAGCACTGTTTATGAAAGGTCGATAACTGATCAATTAGATACAGGTATAACACTATATCTAGCAAGAGTCCTAATTTGCCTATCATATATGATTATATTTACTTGTACTTCAAGTAGCCAAATTGTAAAGGAAGCGGAAACGGAAGCGTGACAACGACGTTCATTTCCACGCAGATGAAAATTAAATGTCAACCACAAACAATACCTCACATACTTAAGTGGAACAAGTAATAATAAGGCAAACAATAATAAGTAAAGAAATGTGAATAAAACTGGCACAATGGTTAAGTAGAATGCATGATGGAATTATATGTAGGTATATATGTATATACATACTTGTATATATAGACATATATATTCTTATATAAGTACGTATATAAAATACGTACCACAAACGCAAAGAAAAGTTGAGCAAAAATTATACAAGCGCTTATGTGTGTATAATTTTCAATTTGAGTGTACTGTCCACATTACATAGCCGGAAAACTTTTCATATTTTTAATTTTATATATAAGTACAGTAATTATGTACACATATACATACATGTATTTTTATTTGGGTGGATAGAAAAACTATTTTTTTTTGCACTTAATACTCTGAAATATATCTCGTTTATTAAGTTTGTAGGCAACTGCCTTCTTTACAAAAATGCTTCCTTAAAATTTTATCGTAAACCTAATCGTTCAAAAACTATTTAGTTATTAGATGTTTCAATTTCCTACATACATATGTACTAGAGCTCTTGGTATTCGTTTAACCGGATAGGGCATTATTCGAATAATTCGGTTTGCATTATCCAGATAGTCGTAAGTTGTCGACTATATGGTTTATTGCTCAACCGACTGTTCGGTTAACCGATCGTTGTCGACTATACAAATAGTAAGCATTCATTAAAAAAAAAAAAACCAAAATCAAAGGCAGCTTGGATTTCAAAAAATTTTCATTTATTCAAATCCTCGCAGCAGAGCAACTATTCGGTTAGTATTCGAATAATAGGTTTTCAGGTTATTCGAATAATTTTATGTACAAATATATCAGAACGAGAATTTTTCAAAATGCAGATACTGATGATATTCATTTTTCTTTTCAATAATAAAGAAAACAAGAAAAAGCATTAACTTCGGTTGCACCGAAGCTATAATAACCTTTACAACTAAAAAAGATTCCTAACAAGAACTTGATTTTGATCGGTCAGTTTAAATGGCAGATATATGCTATAGTGATCCGATCTAAACAATTTGTTTGGAGATTGTACCGTTGTCTTGGATAGTATTCCACGCTAAACTTCATGAAGATATCTTGTCAAATAAATAAGTTTTCCATACAAGGGCTTGATTCTGATCGGTCGGTTTGTATGGCAGCTATATTTTATAGTGGTCCGATATCAGCGATTCCGACAAGTGAACAACTGCTTGAGGAGAAAGTGACGTGCGCAAAATTTTAGTTCCATATCTCGAAAACTAAGGGACTAGTTTCTGTATATACAGACAGACGGATAGGATCTCCAACGTTTTCTTCTGGGTTGCAAACTTTAGATACCCTAAGCTCATATTTAGAGCGAATTTTTTTTGAAATGTCTACCAATCAATTTTTGTAAAAAAAAGAATCGATTTTTCGACCCACCCTAATCACTAGGTTACATACTTGAGTGAGTGAAAGGTGTTCGCTGTCGCTAGGAAATTTGTACTTCTTCTTCTTCTTCTCATACTCTTTATTGTTTGCCACAAGTGCTTTTCGTTGTTTTTAAGCACACAAATATAATATAAAATATCACACACACACACATATCACATGGATATACAACTGCAAAAGTATTATGTGTGTACAATACAATCAAATAAATGTAGCCTTGAAGCATTTAATGTGACAATTGCAGTGAGCAAACATATGTATACACATATATAAAAACGTGAAACGGTTGGAGTGAAATGCCCGCAGCGTTGACAAGCGCCAAGCACAATGGGACATGTAAAAAGTTGCTCATACGCCCTGGAGTACGCAAGTTGTACGTAGTTGCTGGCACGCAGCGGAAGGCGTGTGGCGTATAGAAAGTGGACAAATGTCCACATACAGTTAAATTTAAAAATAGAGAGATATATTTATACGCAAGCTGCAAAACAATCATTGTGTGTACGTCTATATGATATATGTATATATAACGGTATAGAAAATTGTCAAGCAATTGAAAATCAAATTCTTGTATTTTCCTGCGCCAGTTCACGTATTTTCTTGGAATCCCGTTCTAATATTTTTTTTCTATGTATTTTCGGTGAAATTTCTTGTCACAATTGTTCTCTAACGTTCTTGTTGTTTGGTTTTATTTTTTTTATTTTTGGTAAGCAATCAAACTGCTAGCGTACAATTTTTACTTTTGCTTTAATTTGAAAAAATAAGTCTTGCTATTGTTCAGCATGCTGACCACAGTTGGTTAGTCGATATTTATTTTTATTTCAGTTCTCCAAATAAGCTTGTACACATTTTTTGAGTATTCTCAGAGCATTTATGGTCATACATAATAACAAAAGAAAAGTATGAATAAACTTGAGTGAGTTAACACATATAATAGTTCATATTTAAACACTTCAAGAAGTACTGTTCAAAATTTAAAAATATATTTATTTATGTTAGATCTAGTCAAAATAAATAAATAATTTTATCTACAGATATTTGCGATCGGGTTATGTTATATGCCGTTGGATAAAATAGATTATGTACTGAAAAAACTTCTCAGACATTTTTGTGACTCAGTATTGTTTGAGAACGTGTCAACGATGGCAGGTGTCCAGTAAAAAGATAATACGCCATATTGTAACATTTTTTTTCGATAAAGTCGAAAATGCAAGCCAGACAACTGAAAATGTAAAAAGTATTATTGTCCTGGTACTGTAACAGCATCATGTGCAGTTTGGTTTCGTCGATTCCGTTTCGGTAATTTTGGTGTCAAAAGTAATCCACGCTCTGGCTCATTATCGAAAATATCGATGAAATAATACAATAGTTCGACCTCTTAGATCGAACTTCCATCTACGAATCGAAGTTTAATTGCAACAACATCGATCCATTTCTAGAGCGATGGTTACCAATGACAAAAACGGTTCACTTACGACAACATCCAGCGAAAACGGTCGTGGTCGAATAACGGAGAGCTTACGTCCGCGTTGGTTAAGTCAGGATTGACGGTCCAGAAGGTTCTGCTATGTATTTGGAGAGATTGGCAGGGAATAATTTACCATGAGCTACTTCCCTACAGCCAAACTCTTAATTTAGATATTAATTACTGTTAACAGTTCGACCCTCTGAAGGAAGCAATCGCCTAGAAATGGTCAATTCGAGACGCATCCGTGCAATTGTCCTGATCTGCCACCAAGCGATAACTACCTGCTCCTGTTTATAGCAAATGATTTTACTGGTGAAAATCGACAGTTCAAGGTTTTTGCCAATTGGGACTAGGGTTTCTATGAGAGTGGCAATATGAAACTACCTTCCAAATGGCAACAAGCTGTCGAGCAAACCGGTACATATTACACATAAATCGAATGATTTTAACAATGCTAAATAAAACCTTAATTTTATTGAAAAAGTAATGAATTTCTTTGTACAATATTTTTTATATACCTAGATATGTGAGCTAAAACAAGTTATATACCGATTGTACCGTTTTGTGCTTCGATGAAAATTCATCGCAAATTCTATTATCATGTTCAGTATATTGGACCTATAAGAAGGTATGGTAAAATATATGCTGCAATCCTGCCACTACCATTTGTTGTGATTTCCCCACGAATTTTTTCGACTGTTGCAGGGATCTACAAATTTTAAGTGAATTCCCAGCGGTTAAGGCTTTATCAGGACTTGGCAGTTTTTGTAAAACCTCCAACAATATGGCTGGGTCAAGTTATATATCGATATGATTTTATTTTTCGGAGTGAATTTCCAGAATTTCCATAAAGGATTGCTTATATTTTAAAGGTATAGAACTACCTTTTTCATATAAAGCATGCAGCAAAAGTAAACTGACCAATATTTTAATATAATTAGTTACCTTTTTCATATAAAGCATGCATGAAAGTAAAAAGTAAACTGACCAATATTTTAACATAATTAGTTACCAAAATGTATAGTTTTTATAGTGTTGCAACAGAATTCAGCAAATCACGTGGACCAAAATTTACATTACGAGCAAATTTAGCAATGTTGCCAAATACTGGGAACAGTGCTTCCCAAAAATGTATTTTCAGGGTTGTTAACCGTGTTCTCAAGTACACTGGCATTAGTGGCCTTCCGCAAAGTAAAATCCTGTTATACTCTCCAACA